CCTTCAGGTACTGAAAGGCCACAATAAGGTGTCCTCGGAGCCTTCTCTTCTCCAGGCTGAACAACCTCAACTCTCTCACCCTGCTTTCATAGGATAGGTACTCCAGCCCTTGGATCATCTCCATGGCCCTCTTCTGGACTCGCTCCAATAGGTTCATGTCCTTCTAATGTTGGGGGCCCCAGAGCTGAATGCAGTAGTCCAGGTGGGGTCTCATGAGAGCAGAACAGAGGGGGAGAATCACCTCCCTCGATCTGCTGATTACGATTCTTTTGATACAGCCCAGGATACGGTTGGCTTTCTGGGCTACAGGTGCACATTGGGTCATGTTGAGCTTCTCATCAACCACCAACCCCCCGCAAGTCCTTCTCCTCAGGGCTTATCTCAATCCATTCTCCACCCAGCCTGTATTTGTGCTTGGGATTGTCCCAACCCATGTGCAGGACTTTGCACTTGGCCTTATTGAACTTCATGATGTTCACATGGGCCCACCTCTCAAACCTGTCAAGGACCCTCTGCATGGCATCCCTTCCCTCCAGTGTGTTGACCACACCACACAGCTTGGTGTTGCCAGCAAACTTGCTGAGGGTGCACTCAATCCCACTATCCATGTCACCAACAAAGATGTTAAACAGCACCAGTCCCAATACTGACCCCTGAGGAATGCCACTTGTCATTGGCTTACACAAGTCCCAACAGTATCTAGTCTTAGAAGACACCACAGGAGGCTGAAATCAAACCCCAATCCTCACAGCTGTGTTCACCCTCACAAAACCTGCCCTTAAAGACACCCTGCTGTGAGCTAGTCTTCCTATTCCACCCCATTTTAAAACAGAAACATAAATATCTTTAACTCCTAAGCGTGAGTACAAGAGAGCTGTTTCACTGGTTACAAGCAAAAGGCAGACATCAAAAAACATTGAAAATTGCCACTAAAATCCACGCGCTTACCAAGCAAGTGCAACCCTACCAGCCAAAGGGAAATCTCCACCAGACTTTCAGTGCCACCACGGCCCACAGCGCTGATGGAGCAGCCCTGGCCAGCTTGTGGCCCTGCAGCCCACCAGGGCTGGCACCCATCGCCCTCCCAGCAAACAGACCCAAGGAGCTGCTATAGGCTAGAAACAGCTTTTTGCTAAACTAGTTTTAATTTGCATCAGTTCCCTAATTTAATTTACTGAGTAGCCATGATACTTGCCTCGCAAGGAAAGCTGTGGAGGAGGGGAGCTTGAAGCAGGCATGAAACTGGGGCCTTAATTACAACAGCATTATTTCAGCTGGGAAGGGTAAACCTCTTCAATAAGCAAATAGCATTACTGCATTTTTAACCAGAGTGGGTAATTTCACCGTATTTCTCCTTGTCTTCCAAAAAATTATGATGGTGGAAATCTAGATCTTGAAATCACTTAGCTTACAATTTTTACTACCCGGAAAAGCCTCTCCATGAGTAAACCATGTAATCTGCAAATTATGCAATCCAAAGGCACAGCATTAAGGCAAAATGAAAATATCTTGTACAACCTCACCTTGTCAAGAGGCAACAGACAGACAATGAGAATCAGGTGTGTGGAAAACAAAAATTAAACTTAAATAACTGATCTGTGCCCCCAAATGGCAGGACTGTACTCCTTTTTATTCCACTAACTGCACATTCTATATATTACTTGTCTACAAGTTCTGAATCTGCACACTGAGAACACTCGGGTTATTTTTGAAAAGTGACAGTAGGAGATAAAAAAAAAAAAAAACCAAAAAACCTTATGAGCTGCCATCGGAATATTCTAAAAAATCTATTCTCTGCAGAAACATTCCCTCAGAAAGTAGGTAGTACAGCTTTCCCAGCCAGGATTCAAAGGGATTACCAGGAAGCTTCCAGCCACAGGCATTGCATTGAATACAGGTGTTTTCTAGCTATCTTGATACAAAGAAAACTGTTTAAGAAATTGTTTTTCACTGGTGGTTAGGAACCAGGTGGCACCTGTCCACTCTGCGTGGGGGCTGCACAGCCCCACAGCACTATGAGCACCGTGTAGTTCCCTGAAGCAGTGACAGCAGAGCAAAATCTGCACCTAAGAGTACTCCACAGATGAAGTTATAAATTTTACAGTTATAAATTATGACAAAAAAATAATGCTTCATCCCATGCTTGGTTAACTGAGCAGTCTGGAGCACTTCATGTCTGAATATTTCAGGCCTTCACTTGTTCCAGCATCTCGATTATTCAGTTGTTGCATCTTTGGCTTTTATTATACCTCCTTTCATACTTCACTGCTTCAAAACACTTCTAATTTATTCTCTTGTATCATAAAAATCCTAATGTATTTTTCTGACTTACTTCAAAGCACTGTTCCCTATCAGCTGGTCTCACAGTGCTTATTTTCTCTATCTTTCTTCTTGCACCTGCTTGTTGAAATTTTTTTCTTTCCCCTCCTCCCCCCCAGTTCCCAAGAATACAGCCTCCTACTATTCAGCAGAAATGCGTTAAAAGGGGTATATGGTGAGAGGGAGCTAAGCATTTCCGCATGTTCAGTTAAATCAGAATGATACATAAATTAAGGGACTATTTTGGATCTGCTCTCTTACATAGCACAGTCCCTCATATTAAGTTATGCATCAAGAGTAGGAAGCGCATTTGTCTTCCTTGCAACTTCGTTCGGCCTCTAGGTACTGTTACAACCTTGTGGTCATGGGGAATGAGAGCCAAGAAGCGTTGCTGAGGTTTAGTGGATTCAGCTTTAGCGTGGGAAGTATCTGTTGCTCCATTTGGATAAATAAAACATAGAAAAACTATGCTTATATTCTCCCTAAAGGCAATGCTTCTCCCCAGGCAGCACAACAACCAGTCTGAAACTTCCTGTAAGGAAAATCCATAGTAAAAGCAAGGATGTGAATACAGACTATGATTAATCCCTGTATAATTTTGTCTGCCTGCTCTAAACTGTGCTTAACCTCTCCATCACTGTATAATTTTCAGATTTGCCTTCCTAAGGCAAATCCCTTTTGCTGTTGTCTATGGGATGCCACTTTTTTGCCTGGATGGACAGATGTCAAAGCTCAGTCAAAGTCTGGTTCTCTAGCCAAACTTCCAGGAGTCGGACAGCCAAGGGGAAAAATCCTCAAATTTTACTACTTAGAGATTATTTCAGGGTGGAAAAATTGGGTATTTCCAGATTTTTCTGAATGCTTGGTAGTTCTGTCTTTGGCTCGTTTTGAATCGTTATCACCCAAGCATTTTGAACAGTATCTTCAGCATTCTGGATCCAGAGAAGACTTGCATGTTTCTGGCCTAAATCTTGTCTGTCCTGAGCTTTATAAAAGTAGTGATTTATGTGACAAGACCTACACACCCTTTAAGTGGTAGCTGTAACACCTTTACAAGTGAAAATGTGACTTTCAAAAGCGCAGTCCTGCACTTACTTCAAACAAGTACGCCTGTGGACCAGTGCTGTGAACACCAACTCACAAATGCACTTCAAAACTCTCTTTTTCATATTACTGCTAGTCCACTCTTGGAGCTCTCTTGAACATAGCCCAATTTTCACTTAACACAGAATTGTGTTGAACAGTGCATTTTATTGTATGCACAACTGTCAAAGACTATTAAAGACAGATTCAGCCAGTTAATATCTTTTTTTTTTTCACTTTTGACATTAGGAAGGACACAAGCCTAGGTCTCCAGAAGTTGAAAGAACAGAGCTAGGTTCTCAGCCAAAATGTGTCACATACTGGCACTTAAATAAAACCAGATGACTCAACAGAAGACATCGCTTCATAGTTTAAGATATCTCACTTCTTGGCTAATGTAACTTTCAATTGTTTCTTTTTAATCTGACATTATATGTATATATGCATATTCTTTTTGAAAACCATTTTAATAATTTATGAACTTTGTTGTTTTCCAAGAAACCTGTTTCAATATAGTATTGGGCCTTCGTACATTTGAAATACATTCCAGACAGAACCAACCACAGCCAATTTTGCTTCACTGTTCAGTCTTCAAAACACAACTCATATCTACTAAGTTTGAAAAAGTCTTGACTTTGTTTCATTCTCAGTATAACTCATTATGAAATACTGGAGTGTTTCAAGCTCTTTACAACATACTTAACCATCAGCACTTCTAATCTACTTGCTTCAAAGCTTTCTACATACATAATACAAACTTCAGATTAAAAGAAAGTCTTATAATTACTATTCTGTAACCTGAAATTACATTGGCACATTTCGCTAATGATTTTAAAACATTCTTCTGTTGCACACTGACAAACTGTTTTCTATACAAGCTTCCATTATACTTTCAACACTCACTATACCCTTGGATATTTCAGCACGTACACTTTTTATTTTTGAACAGCAAATAATATTCTCATGTGTTTTGAGACCAAGCTTGACTAATTTATTCATGACTACCTTTTCCTGTTCTCTGTGGGTTTTAATTTAGTATTTTGAGAATTTTAGGAGTTTTGTATCAGGTTTGTTTATTGAAAAGTGTTTTTTCCTGTTTGCTCTCAAGTCCTCAGCAGACTCATCTCACAATGGCACATTACAGTGTCATATAAGGAAAAAGGCAAACACAATCTGGATCACAGTTCCTATTTGGTAAAACACTGCAGCTTCAGTAACATCAACATTATTACAAAACTAATTGTAAAGAACCACAACTCCTCTATGTTATGTATTAGGTGCAAATACTCCAGAGCAGCTGGTGCCATAAAGCACTTAACCCCTCTCAGCGGTGGTGGCAGTCTACCTTTATGAGAACACTCATGGACAGTCTTCTACAGTGGTAGACATTACTGAGATTTCTGATGGATCGACTGCCACTGGCTGCTGCCTTTCATCAGAGGAACAAATCTTAGCTCTCCAGCAGAGAGTGGAGAGGCTCTGGTGGGTTCTCCAAAACCCCCCTGCTAATTGTGTCCAAGCCATAACAGGACAGAGAATGCATAATCATGCTGATGTTTATTATTAAAAGATCGATGCAAAAATGAAATTTATCTTACCAAAAGGAGGAGACTCTCTCCCATCTTCTAATCCGGAATCTCGCTCTCTGTCTCTCTTTCTGTGCTTATGTCCACGGTGCCTATGGCGTCGGTGACTTTTTCTTCCACCAAGTGGCACGTGAACTCCAATGAACAATGTTCGATGACCTGTAAGTAAAAAAAGTTACCTTTTAAAAAGGGGCTGTGGCAACACAATAACAATATTAATAACCATAAAATTATTATAATCGTGTAATTGTATCATATTGATTATTCTAATGTTAATAGTCATAACATTATTGATTACAATAATGATGATGTAGCTTCACAGATATACAACCCATTGATACAGGACAAAATCCCAGTAGTGAAGTTCTTATGCAGTGCCAGGGTTTGGTGGGTTTTTTCCTTCAAATTTGCATCTCTGTGTGTGAACTTCCATTAAAGCCAGACAGGTGTTCTGTAAAATGTCTTCCAAAACAGTAACATGAACAGACGCATGGATCTCTTTGTGTTGAACATTTGGTAAAGTTGCTGTTTGCTTTGTGCGTACACGAACTTTACAAAACGCATCGCTATTTATGAGCCAAACTTCGACAGAATTCTTGTGGGAAATTCACTGAAGGGGAAAAAACAAATAAAAAAAAAAAGAGAGACCCAAAAACCAGTAAAGCACTATAAAAGCTCGACTGCAAAATCCCTACACAACTTTGTGTGTTCACATCATAAATACATTGCTGGTAGCTCAGAGTGCTTTCATTTCTTCTGTTTTATTTTTTAAACTACGTAAGAAGGTACACATTGCCATGCCTGCCACCGTCTTTGAGCCTGAGGAATTTTATGTTGCTGATCAAGCCCTAAAGATCTCTTAGCTATGTGGGCTAACAAGATCAGAGCAGAGTAAAGCATTTCGAAGGAGGAGAGCAGAGGGGAAATGTGCAGAAAGTACCACAAAACAGAACAAATGGGAAAGGAATCATGACTCACTACAGGCAGGTCTCCTACATTTACTCAGCAGAAAGACACAGTCCAGATTACTCATCTCAGATAACATTTATTTTCTCCTTAAAATGAGCATAACACAGCTAGTGGATAATTGCTGCTTTGCTGTAATCATTCAGCAGTGTCAATCATCTGAAAAAGGTCAAGAACATTAAACTAAGGTAGCACGTGATCTCTAATCCCATAGAGACTCCAGCGGGGACAGAAAACAGCAAGGCAGCATTTGTCCCAGTACATCAAAGAAATTTAAGGCTGACAGGAATTTTCTGCAGACGCAGAGCTAAAAACACTAGAGAAAAGGCTCTGGACACCACACCAGTTACTTCCTCAACTTTGATTCATGGATAGGAGACTAGAAAGCAGAGGCATCAATTTCTGGGAGACGTATTCTTGCAGAGGAGGAGATTTTTCCGAAACAAAAGCCACAAGTTGAATTTTTTTAATCTGTTTTTGAGATACCTCTTCTTGCTTATTACATTTAACCCAAGAAATTATTTAGAGAGAACTGCTGCCTTTAGTGTATTTCAAATGTATTGGGTAGAAAAAAACCAAAACAACGTTTTGAAGGGAATGGGGTTACCCTTCCTAAGACTTTAATCATTTCCAGATATAGAAATAGATTGCTTTTTTAAATTAGTAATTTAATACGTTCCTGCTGCTTTGTGATAGAAGCGGGCACTTTTATTCCCATTGGCTTAAGCAAGTCCCAAGAATCAGCTAGACTCAGTCGTTTTAATGTTGTGCACAAAAGCAGTCATTAGAAGATTTCTGACCCAGCATAACACAAATACAGGTTGTGGATAGCTCCTGAACATCACTAACATCAATGGTAAAATTCCAAGTGACACCAATGGACGCACATTTCCTCTCCAAAAACGCAAACATTTACAGACCTTGTTATACCTTCAGCACCTATTATTTACTACAAGATCTCAGTTAAACTGACTAAATTTTACAAAAAAATAACATCCATAATTTCAATTTGGCTGAAGTCAACTGCAGGCTATCCCACAGGATTCAAATTTGTTCCTTATAGTTTATAACTAATCGTATACAGCATTTCATTTATCTTTAAGAGCTTTTTTGTGTTTTATAATTTACTTCATCAGGATGCCATCTAAAAATGCCTGAATATTGCTTAAATATTGTAAAATTATTCTGCTGTATGTTTGCACAGTGCCTCGCTCAATTAGACCATAATTTCTCTATTCTTTTGGCAAGGCTACAAAGGCACTATGGAAAATACTAACAACTGTAAGTTACATCAGGGTGCATACTGTCAACATCAGGTACAACCTAACAACCATTCTCACGCAGAATTTACAGACGGTTTTAAGAGATGAGCATAATAAACAATGGATTTATAAATCTTTAAAGCCAAGTCTTCAAAAAATACCATGCCGGGCATCACTTTTGGACAGTTTTATCACCTGCACCGTACACCTGAGAAAGGGCTAAAATTGTTACTCAAAAATCTACAAATGAATTAATGTCTTACTTTTTGTTCCATGTTTACAAAACAGGTTTTTTCAATTGTATTTTTCCAATGGTTGTGTTTTCTTGCAGAAAAATGTTAAGAGCTGAAGTGGTCAATTACAGCTTATTTTATTATTACTGTATTAATTTAGTCCGTTAATTTGGTTTGCTTCTCCCCTTCTCTGAGGAACCGTCCTGTAATAGGAAAAATCATACTTAAAACACTTCTTTATTCTGTACCTCTCAGCCAAGGACTATGGTGGATACGTTGCAACATATCACATGTAGTCAAGTCCATGAACCACATACAGATAAAATGCACTCAGGTACACACATGCAGATTTGTGGTTCTGGACACACTTAAGAGTTTGGCCTATTGTCCCTTCTCACAAAAAAAAAAAATTGTACATCTAATAGATCAAAAAAGATTTCTCCTGCTAATTCTTTCTTCAAAATACATAAAAGAATTTCTTTTTTTCTTTATTTCTTTGTTCCTCTCCATGGTTTATGTTATGTTTAATATATGTTGTAATTTGAAAAATCTGAATTGATTTAGGTATCAGTTAGCCATAGGATTTGTCTGTTCTTCCTGAGCATTTTCAACTAACCTTACATTAACATCAATAGAGTTTTATCATGGAAAGACTACAATTTTGTTCCTGCAAAAAACACACTCTGAACTAAAACATGTTGATTTATTCCAGATGTGCCACTAGGAAAGCTAAGCATAAGCAAATGCAGAAATATTTCAGTATTAGAATTTAGGAGCAAATAATTTTTAAAAACTGAACCTCTGAGAAAATACATTAATATACGAAGATTATTTACAATCTGAAAGCTTATTAAAGAAATGCAATACACTGAATTGATCTGCTCTGCAATATCGCCTTTATACAACGCTACACGTCCACTGTTAAATTGTATAAATACTGTTCTTAAAAAAAGACTATTCTTAACCAAATTGCACATAGCTGGGGAACAAACCCCAGAATATAAAGTTAGTTCAAATCTATGCATTTATAGCATAAGAGGCTTTGGCCCCTTGTGGTTTACCTTCAAAGCATTAGAACAGTCCTTAAGTAAAAATATTTTAGGGATTAAAGAAATACTGACCCTTGTTATAAAGTGTTCTTTTTCATTTTTACAGGATTACATTAAGAAATCCAAATTATATTATAAAAGATTTAAAAGAGATCCTGTTAACTGTATTTAATTTTCAGACAGATGAAAGCATGTATAAGCACATGTAAAAATCAGGATTTCTCCTAAACTTTTGAAGAAAAAGTGTATTATGCTGTAAATATTTCCACTTTGTGGAGGTATGAATTCTTTGCCCTAGAAAAGACAGATATGAAATATACATTATTAATATGAATACATCTTGCAGAGACATTAATCAGAATAAAATCTAAGTAGAAGGGTTGAAATTATTCCTTACACCTAAATTTTATTTTAAGAACCCAATCTAAAAAGGGAACCTCAGAAAAGCAAATATTTTCTGCATAGCCCTTGAAAATGACAGATGTAACATCTAAAAATGGTTTTCGGAACCTGGCATTCTAGGTCTTTAAAACAGAAGCTTGTCCTAGCTACCTATCTTATTCATTAAATAAATGGAAAAGAAATTTAATGTAATGGGATTTTTAAAGCTTTGAAAACATATATCCCATTATAATTTATGGTGCTTGATGACTTAGGAACTTCTGGAAACCCCATTACAATTGTCTGAATGGACATGACATTGCAAGGGAAAATGAAGACGGAGAGAAAGGAATTGTAAACGTTTCCCTTAATTTAGAGAAACTAAGATCTTTTTAATGCAACACTAAAAGTGCAGACATTTTTGCCCCAGTGCCTTCCACTCCCCTTCCAAAGACAACTTCAACACAGGAAACACATTCCCATTTGGTAGGAAGAACACACATACGAAGCACGTTCACCTCCCCACTTCCCAATGAGTAGAGGCCCCTGCAGGCCTCCCATGTTACACTAGGCACATGGGACTCAAGCACGCCCTTTAAGAGTTCCTTAGCAAACCAGCCAATTTGATGCCTGTTGTATAAAAAAGTGACTGTCCTGGATCTGAACACCCGTGAGCACCAGGTGCTCATGGTACATCTGCCTGTGCTGCCTTCCACCCAGAATGATCCAAATCTGCCTTTGGCATCTGCTGAGACCAAGGCTTTCAGATCCCTGCTCATGGGCATGACGGACAGGGGCAGATAAGGGAACAGATGGGTCTTGAAACATCTCCAGAAAGAGCAAAGGCAGGCTTCTGTGACCTACTAAGGAAACACACTGCAAAGTCAAGATGCCTTGAGAGATAATATATTGTCAGTGATTTGAGCCAAGTCTCAAATGACTGCTGACCTCAGCACGACTGGAGGGGTTTCTTCCTCCTCTGGAAAACACTCAGTGCCTTGAAGCCTCTTATGTATTGCCAGCTAGAGCTGAACCAAATGCAATTTTCCATCCTCTCAAAAATGAACAGTGAGGTAGAGACAGAAAACCAGCGGTCCATGTAGAGTTAAAAAAATTGCCTTTTTCCTTATAGGAGAAACAAGTGATTATGGTGAATTGTGTAGGAGTAGAGAGTACATGACTCATGATGCCTTATTGTAATGCAGCACGGAGGCAGAGCTAAAGAGAAAGGACAAAAGCAATGCTTCGTAAACCAACAGTTTACAATG